AATAATAATAATAATAATAATAATAATAATAATAATAATAATAATAATGGTACAATAAGAATAGGCATTGAACACTATAAAATCCGTTCAGTGGAAAATGGTTTGTTAAGAAATTTGAGGGACCTAGTACCTTCTTTGGTTGTACAGAATTTTCGAATTTTCGTAATTTGGAAAGAAAGTATGAATGTATGGGTTATGTGGTAAACCAAACAAACTCTAAAAATGTATACTTTTCAGGGAGTTATTCGTTACAGAGAAATGTTTTAGAGTTTAAACTATTTTCTTTTGTGAGGTTCGGCTGTTATAAAAAATATTCGAAATTAAATTACATATAAAATACTTTTACCTAGGCAAAATAAAATACCTAATGTGTAATTTATATAGTTTTAACATAATCACAAATAATTTTTACCAAATACAAAATCAAATTATGTGTAACGAAAAGAAAAGAAAAGTGAGCACTACTGCCATTTATCAGCGGTCTTAATAGTATTAAAAGTGCTCTCTGCTGCCCGGATGACTTCAGTCGAAGAATGGGTTTGCGGCGTTTTGACCATATTTTCATAGTCTTATTGTGGACTGGAGTGTGAAAAAGTCCACTTGATAGTTGATACGTCGGCAACGTAGCCTTCGACGCCGCGTCACCTGAACAGCTGAGAGCAGAGACTCAGACCGCGGAAACCAGCGACAAAACTCTGTCGTATTGTGCTAAGATATTCGTCGGGTGCGAAAAGGAACGAAATCGTACCAAGCCAAGCGAAGTAGATGGCTATCTTCTCCCCGAAGTACTCTCGGATGTGGTCAAGAGGCTGGTACTTGTACCACTTGCCCCACCGCGCCCAGTACTCGTACAGGATCTGCCTCGGGTTCAGGGGCTGCTCGATCTCCCCTTTTTTGTTCCTTTTCACTTCGTAGGGACCCTGGAAAAGGAGGAATTTGTAAATGGCAGTGTTAAATTAGCATTTGTTTTAAGTTAGGTACACTACAAGTAAGTAGACGTACTGTAAACATCGGAATTAGGAATCGGCGGGGACGTTTTTCTTTCAGTGATTTTGAGTAAACGTAATTAATAAGAAACAAAAATTTCATTTTATCGGCAAACAGCCGTAATAATAATTTACATTACAAATTGTGATGTTCCCTGTTGCATATTCCAGCCGAGGCTGGAATATGGAAACGAATCGTGTGTCTCTTCCATATGTCAGTTAATTCAAGTTTTATTTTTTACAATGTGTCTTTTTTCTTCTTTTGAATTTAATAACACTACCTGCTTAGACGATGTACGACTGACAATGAATATATTGTTGCAGTACCAGATAGCTCTAGAATCTTGAAGAAATAATACGACCAATATTGCTGGCGAGAAAATTTAAATTCCCAAGTAGTTATTGTTAGCAATCTTATCTGGTTTGGGAAGTGCCACATACTAAAGATTCGCTACATTGTTGAGTGTTATTGTGCCTAATGATAGTTTTAATATAGTCATAGCTCTGTGATCAAATGGTACCCTTAGCACGCATGCTTTTAAATTTTATTCTGATTGTTATAATGATTAGCGTCGTTGCCTATTCAGCAAACCGGCCTTGGTGCCAAATTTCTAAGTTCATAGAAGTTGGTTTGAAAAATAATGTCAATAGAATGCCACTTTCACGTATCGTGACACAGTTATATCGACTCCACGCAACCTATCAAAAGAACTCAAAAACTCGCTTAACAACAGTCGTCCGTTAAGGAATTAAACGGTCGTCCGTCCGTTAAGAAAACATAAAAATGAGTTGTAGTTGAAGATGACGTAGTCAAAGTGTATGTATTATTTTTATGATTTTTTTCTTTTATGAAGATGGTAATACCAAAAGGTACTTGAACGTCCCCAAGGTCGATATCACAAATAACGAATAGGTTGGTTACAAATCTTGAGTATTGAATTGAATTGAATTGAATTGAATTAATGCCTTATTTTACGTGGCGAGACTCAGGCCATGAGTACTGCTCGTCCGTCTGAGCATCCAAATTTCGCTACGCTCCTTTCACCAACTAGCAGAGAAGGCAGGTCTTTCTTGGGCATGAAACAGGCGATTTCAATTTAGCTCAGAGGCGTCATTTAGGCTTGAGGATCTTTGATATGCAAGTAAATCTACTAACATGGGACAGCCGGCTTTACTTCCCCTTTGAAGGAAGGCGTACGAAGGATTTTTTCGCTCTTAAAAATCTACGGTTTCGATCGGGTTTGAACACGCAAACAGTCCGGTACGCTAACGGTTACACCATCGCCGCGCGCAAATCGGGTCGCTTTCGTGCGGCGAGTATAGTGTCGCTTAACGAATGTCAATCGCGTCCGTTATTTGCTTTATCATCATCATCATTATGCATCATAGTGTCGTAAAGAACTACCAAACGATTTTGTCTTAAGAGTGGGTGGAGTGTGGATGTGGACTCACGTCGTGCAGCGGGAAGGCGGAGCAGAAGACGCCCTCCTCCACCAGGCGCTCGATCCCCACCTCTCCCTTCTTCTTCTTGCCGAAGACGGCCGTCGACAGGATCTCGTACAGGATGCGGCCGCGCTGCACGTTGGTGAAGTACGTGTCGTGGTTGTCGCTCCCCAGAAACCTGCGAGTTCAAGGATCACACTCACTCAAACGTACTGCTAGCTTATTAAATTATACTAGTGGTGCCGGTTGCAGCCAAAATGAACTAGTATGATATACGATGCATGCATGCATTCATAGTACATAGACATAATTAGCACGCCTAAACAGACAATTAAGCTCGCTCAGACATACACGTATGAGCGTTCTGACACTCACACATGCACAACCACACATGTATGCACGTACAGACAGGATGGATATCAGCTTGTAAAGGTTAGAATTGCAGGGTTTAGACTTCAGTTTCGTATTTTTTGTGTACTTTTCGCGCATGTACAAAACCGGAACCCCTTTCGTAGACTCTAGAACAGCAAAAGAACTGGAATACTGACGGTCGGCTGGTAGCCTAAGGATTCTGATGGCCTAAAAGGATCGATCGCAGAGCCGCGTGCGAGGCTATCGTAATTTGCACCGCGGATCCGTCAATTCAGATACTTTTGATTTTCTTCATCCAAAAAATAAGATATTTTCTTCGGCAAAACTTAGAACAATTCTGAGAATCGATTCACTATAAGCACATCCTTCTGGACGTTATAGAAAAAGAAAAAGTGTGAAGAAACTACCGTGCAGTAACGAGGTATTCCTCGGAAAAATATCACAGAAAACATTTGTTTATCTGATCGAGAAAAATACAGTGATGTATTTTTTTCACCAACCGAAATTAATCGTCTTGAATTCGAAATTTCTCGCTTGTAGCTTCAGTAGTTTTGGCTCTGTCACACAAGTCAGTCAGTTTCATCTCTTATAATGTATGATTTTACACTCAGATTTCATACGCATTGTTTTATGATGGGTCAATAATAATTCTTTTATAGGTTTGCATTAATTTTTCACCGAAAATTATTACGTACGCAACTTGTACGAAAGTGTCTTTGGTTCATTTATTTCAAAATCCCGGACTCGGTTCTTATCGTCACCTCGTCTGTAACCACGTTCATTTGTAGACTCTCTACTTTCCGTACGTCAATAATAATCGCACCCGGATGTATCTGGCATTGAGAAGCCCCACGACACGCCCCGGAAGCCTTCGCGGTGGGTCGGGGCGGTTGGCTGCTCACCCACCTGTCAATCTTGGACTTGCGGAACGGGCAGGTGTAGTAGTCGAGCGGCTTGTTCGGGACGTCCTCGCACATGACGTTCGGGAGGCGAAGCGCCTTCAGCAGCAGCTCCGACCAGTTGGTGGACGGGTTGGGGTGCGCCTGCAACGGACACGCTTGCCACTTCCCACCCTGTACGCCCCTATCTCAACAGTTTCTATAATTAAGACTTAAAGCAAAAAAAAAAAAAAAAGGATGTAAGTGCTATGTCTATTAAATTTAAGTTTTTACCAGAAAAATGATGAATGAAACAAGCCGTGTAACCTAAATAAGATCCAAAGTTCTGACGTATTTCTTTATAGTGTTACGGGGTGATTATAAATGACATGAGTTGCTACTTCCAATAGGTTTAACGTGTATCATATAAACTTTTTTTTTCTGGAAAGTATGAAAATGGTACTTAAAACCCATATTTATTTCAAGTCTTTAATTTTAATAAATTTATTGAAAATAATTAATATAGATCTCATCACATCCAAAGCAGTATTATCATCACTCGAACATTTTTTAAAATTTCAAACGCTTCTATTAATTTTAATTTTTGGAATTCCTTGTGAATACAAATCTACTGTAAAACACATCATTTTCTTGGATGCCGTTTTGCCGAAAGAACAATTTTTCATCATAATTTTCATATGATCATTCTAGTAGTACACAAAGATTTGAATAACACATTTAATAAATTATCTATTTACGAAATTGTACATGAACATTTTGTTTGCCCAAGTATCAGAAGCTTTCTTACCTGAAGTGGTGCCCTCATATTCAGTTCTTCGGCAAAATGGCACAGAACAGACCACGTGGCGTGCAATTTGATGAAGCATACCAACTTCCGATTGCTGCTTTCCACCACTTCCTGCAAAAGTTGCCGGACAATTTTACCATTTAACTCGTTGAGTATGTAGCTTAATGTATCACAACTGAACAGCTTTTACTCACATCCAAGAACTTTTGTCTTTGTTTTGGACCGAACTGTAACATGCACGTACTACTGCACAACTTTGTGGTTCACATTGAATAGTTACGATTTCTTTACGAACATGTAATGAATAGACTTTATATGTAACAAATCTCAAAAAAAATTGATACTAGTTACTTTTTCAAAACCGTTTAAAGACTGATAAAATAACAAATGACTTATTTAGTATGAATCCAAGACGGGTCAGAATACTGCAAATTAATTCCTTATTTATATTCATGCAGTATGTAAATAAATGGCTAACATACACGAAATAAAATGACCAAAATAATTTATCTTACCACTAACTTACCATTCGTGCAAAACCGAACTGCAGTTTTAATAAGGAAATAGGGACACTGGGACACGCAAGTTTGTGTAATTTCCACTGGGATGCAAGCTGGTCGTAAATGAGATGAAGAAACGAAGAGATGGTCACGGGAGAAGAAAGATATTTTTTAAAAATAAATTAGTGAAAAAATACGTCAGTGTGAGTTAACAATGAAGCGACATAATAATAATAATAATAATAATAATAATAATAATAATAATAATAATAATATAATAAAAATAGAAAGTATCAAATTTGAAGTTGCAAAAGAAATTCGGGTTCATTTAATAGCAGTGATTTCCCTTGACCTACATCATAACTTGAATAAATCAACAAACTCATACAGGCATGATTTGCATGCATTGTATGAATTAATAATTCCGAATTTTATTGTATAAAATAAATTTCTTGAATAATCGTTACCCATTATTAATTTATTGGACGCGTTTTTATATTTGCGATGAGTGATTCTACACGCTCACTCTACACGCTCAACTCTAGGCTACAATTTCTGTTTTCGCACGTTATCCCCTTCTGTTTGTGAGAGATCCCATATGAACGAGTGTTACACGAGATCCCTCTAGTCCTCCGATAAGACTTTATCTCTTTAACGCGCCCTGCTGCCAGTCTACATGTTGCCACGAGTCTAATTACTTTTATTGCAAATACGCTTGCTTAGCGTATTTCCTGATACGGTGGTCACTACCAATACGCGAATCGTGGTAAAAGAACGGAAAAGAGCAGAGAAAGAACGAAAGGGGAATCGTCTATATAATGGAATGTATCGGAGCGGAAACGAAATTTTTCGAAAAAATAATTTTGAAAGTCTTAAAAAATGCAGCCAAACCTGAAACGTTAATCTTCATTAACTCATATTTCATGTCCTTTTCTCATACCTTTGGGTAATATATACATATACATATATATATATACATATACATATATACATATACATATATATATACATATACATATATATATATACATATACAT